AAAAAAAAAGAAAAAAAAAGAGACTAGAAGAATATATGATATTTGATCGAGCGTGAAGAACAAGATGTGCCTGCACAGAATGCGGCCAGAGAGAAGGAGCAAGCGAAGAACATGATACAGTGGGGACGAAAAAAAAAAAGATAGATATTAGCAAGAAATGGATTGATGAGGTCGACAAGGTTGAAGAATTGTCGAATGATGTTGATTAGACCCACAACAATGAGACACGTCTTCGACAGAACATAAAATGCGATTAGTCCTTGATGGTAGCCTTAGTTCTTCCAAGATTTGAGTATCAGAGTAGAAGAAATACACGAATAAGTAAATTAGAGAGAGAGAGAGAGAGAGAGAGAGAGAAAAAGTTTTAGCCACATCGATTGACTCGCCGGCAAAAAAAGTATGAGACACTTGAGGATAAGTTGAAAATTGCGGTGCAGTGAGAAATTATGTTCCAAATGATATAGATGAACGAGAGAGAGTGAAATTGCAACGCAGTAACAGTAACATTTTTAGTTCAGGCAGGAATTAAGAAATCTGACGATGGGCGATTGAACAAGGTTGAGTGTACCAGTGGCTAACGTTGATGTTTGCGACGACGGTGGATCAGCCAAAGTCATCGCAATTTCTTGCGCTTTACTACTCTGATCAATTTCTTTCACAGGTTTCGACGTTTCGGTTCTTTCATCCACGGCATCTAAAACACAACACAGGTACGTCTCTGTGAATTGCCTTTACGATTGCAATTTACGCGATACATATATATATCCCCTGAAAAATTTGTATCCTTTTATTGAGCGTCGATCGGAAGGAATTTGAATTTGAAACGTTTCGCGCGAATTACTGGCCGCGCATGCGCCGTGCGTTGCAGCAAAATGGCCGCGCATGCGCCTTGCGCTGCAGCAAAATGGCCGCGCTCCAAGCTACAAAATTTCAAGTTGCGGGATATCGTGTTACGTTTCCGTGTATGTATACAGTTTCACACTGTCGTGTCATCACTTACCGTCGGTCGAATAAGTTTCCCGATGAATCGCGAACGTGTTGGTCGTTTTGTTTGTTTGCAATGTCGTCAAATTGACCGTAGGGGGTTTCCTCAACCTGGTTGACGGCAAATTTCCTGACGTACGAGACGTTGTTATCGTATTCTTCGACGAATTCACCTGTTCGTAGAGCACACGCAGATTGTATTTCGATTCTGTTCGTTGGAACGGTAAGTACAATTTTCTCATTCGGTCGATTAAGAAAAAACATTAATTGGTACAAAGTCAATTGGTATAAGCTGAGCTCACGAAACAGGGCTCCCGTAGGACAACGACGACTTTGAAAACGTTGCTCTTAGAATTGAAACATCACGTCGCCAAGAGATATTTCAGAAATTTGACGTAACATTAATGGCGCGAAAAATTTAAATTCAAAACACGTCGTGTCTCGTTAGTCGTTCGATGGCGCGTTGTGATGAATCTTTAGAAATTTATAGGATGTTAATAGTCGGACATTATGGCGCGAAATATTCAAATTCAAAACATCGTATCTTGTTAATTGTTCGTAGATGGCGCGTTGTAATAAACCTTTGGAAATTTATAAGA